CCCCGCGGGACATAGAGACTCATTAGGGCTTCATGCGAATTTTGATTGAAACTTTGAATTGGAATACACTTGGCGATTCCAGTTTTGCATAGTTTCTAAGAGGTAAGTATCTTGCGTCGAAGTTAAGAGTGTTTTGAGACTGCAAGCTTTTAGTCGGTGGCCAGTGTTAGACTTTGTCTAGAATTTTAGAGAACAATTTGTCAGAGTTCATCCATTATATGCCAGTTGAACTGTGTTCTGTTGCGGCGAAAGAGGATTCAACTTTCCATTGTTTCATGGATGCCTAGTAATTAAGTTAACTTTTTGCTTGAATACCTTCGTAAATGGAGTCTGTGTTTAAAACGATGGATTTGGTTGTTAGGGGACTGCGGGAAATGGTAGCATAGTATGTCTTATTTATCTGGATGCTTGCATTTCGAGCAATATAATCTGAATTAAGAGCCAAAAAAGGTGAAACCAAAAACTCTATTCTATTGCGAGTTTATCTGAATTGAATACATTCTCAACGGATATTCTAAAGCCTAACTCTTTGGAGTTGTGCTTTGTTCAGTTTTGTTTTCTAGTGATATTATTTTGAATGATCTGCTCGGTTTTTTGTCATTTTTTGCTAGCAGTATTCGCCCCGTTTATTAATTTAATATGTGCTTCAGAAGTTGTATTGTTAGAATTTAGAACTTTCATTTTTGAAAAGAATGTAGAGTGAAGCCTTTCCTTTGGATTTGCAGGCTGGTATCACTTCTATGTGATAATTTTTTTTCTTCCATTTTGTGCTGCAGTTGTGACTACTCTCATAGCCATAGATGCCTTAGTTACTATCTGATTCTTGTATAAACCAGGGCTGTGCATAGTTGCTGACAGTGATTTAGCAATTTGATTGAGAAATATTTTTGTACAGATAGTATTTGAGCCTGTTTTTCTAAATGTCAAGAATGTTCGAGTATAGTTAACGCCAACAGTTCTTTAGATGGAAAGTAATGCTAGTGAATTAATCCCTTGTACTTAGCTCTGTTCAATTTCCAGTGTAGGTCTTGGCATGTAAATAACACTGTATTCATTTTTTTGTTGTATTTGTAGGCTTTTGAGGAAGCTGAGCTTCCCAGGCTGAAGGAGGAAAAACCTGGTCTCACTCACACACAATACAAAGACATGATATGGAAGCTGTGGAAGAAATCGCCTGACAATCCCCTCAATCAGGTATAGAACTTAGATTCATCTCCAGTGTCTGTCTCTAAAAGCTATCGTTAATTGACTTTCGTCCCGATGGATTGATCCGTCAATTTATATTGCATACTAAGATTCTAACAAATTTTATTTGGGATTCTTTCTTACTTTAATATCATACTGAATTTTTACTTTTGCATTTGCAGGTTGCTGAGTGATGACAACTACATATTCTCTGTAAGATAGCGGATGGACTTTTCTTTTGAATTGTTTTTAAGGATTGATCCCACTCTCATGTGGCCAACTTTTATGGCTTAACCAAATGTGTGGCATCTGTCCTACTGTATGTGCTTTGTCCACTCAATAAAATTTGAATTACAATAATAGCCCTCTCGTTTCTTATTTATGTTTAGCTTAACTGTATCCCTAGTTATAAGGTCACGAAAAATGCTGCATGTTTTATAACTTGTTATTGTCGGACTCTGTTAAGAGTTGACAGTATAATTGTATAATCAGTGAACGTAGTGTTGCTTTCCTCAGGGGAAAAATAGAAGATGAAGAAAGAAAGTAGAGTCGTGACTAAAAGTGAGAATTTTCCTTTCTTGCATTTTAGGTAGTTATATGTATATATAATCGTAAAGTACAAAGTGATTAGTTGAATTTTAACCTTTGTTGTGCTGCTTGTATGTGAAGGTAGAATGTATTCGTTTTGTAAGTTTGTTATATCTCCGCAAATATAAATGGCCTTCTCTTGGTTGATTATAGATGGCTTCCCCATAATCTTAAGAATTACGGAGCCTTTTTGATCGCGAAGAGACTTTGTTGGGGTGGTAGCTCCTTTTTTAGGTGATTCGGCAGTGATCGTGTATGCAGTTGAAAGTCATTGCAGATTTTAAGCTGTGAAGGAACGGAACTTTGTGCTTAATAATTGTGAGGCTTGAAATTGTTTTCTCTAGTCAGCTAGACGGTGTCCATCAGATTAGTTTCGATGACTCAACTTAATTTAAGATTAGTTCATGACATGGTTTTCTAGAATTAATTAACTTTTTCCTAGTTCATTTTCCCATTGGAATTCTCTTCCAATAGAGTGTTATGCAATCACGGGTCGCCGTTAAGGGGCGGGATAAACTTTCAGGCGTGGGTTGTTTTAAAGCCAGTGAATACGGACTTAGACCATCTTTAAGAAAACTTTCTAAATTCTAGTTATATTCTAGTTAAATTATTTTAACTAACAACTTTTTAGTAAGTCACTTTCATCATACTCACTATTTTAATTAAATAAGTAAATATAGTTTATTTTAATATTTATTGAATTTAAAATATAAATGATTTTATTAAATTTACAAAAGAATTTTGCATTTATTACAATTAAAAGAATAAAATAATATAAAAAATGAAATGGCTAGTCACTCCACACTAATTATATTTAGTTAATGCAAAAGACATATCTTAAATAACTAACTACTTAGCTAATGATTGAATCGGAAAAAAGTTACAAAAAAAAAGTTAAATCATTAACTGTTTTGATTAAAAACATGAAATTGCTAGCATAGTTGGCGTTGCTTTTGTGCAAGTCGTTGCAATATATATATATATATATATATTTTTTTTTTTTTT